TCTCCCCAAGCTGCCATCGCGGACAGATGACATCAATTTCTTGTGGAACTCCTTCCGGATTTTTTCCAGAGGCTGGCTCTGGCCCAATGCATCCTCCTTCTTGTGAGTGACCCCGTTCAGGAAAACAAGGATGTGCGGGGAGTGGTCGGGGCTCTGTGCCAAAATGCTCTGCACTGCATCGACGTCAATCTGGTCTGCCTTCCCTGTGAAAGTGCGGATGTATATGCACGCGCTCCCCACGAGCGCAGTGGAGAGCTGGAACTTTTTCATCAACTTCCGCTGCTCAGACGTCAAGCCTGGAGAGTCAATGATGAAGGTGGAGTGTCCACACTGGTATCCGCTGACGACGGTGGTTTGGTCTCCCTCAGCAAGTCCTGCACCGTCCACTGCAAGTTCAGGGCGACTGAGAAGTTGAGATAGAAGCGTTGTCTTGCCACCATCCACCGGGCCACAAAGGCCAATAACGCGGTAGCGCATCAGCTTCTTCAGGTCATGAATGTACTTGATGACCCGCAGCCGACGCACGACCTCCAGATGAGACGAGAGCTGCAACTGGGAACGCCTGCCAAGTGACTCAGCACCTTCATCAAGACACGCAATGAGCTGTTTCTCCAACCAGAACTCCCCGCGCAGTCCAGCAGCAATGGGGCCAAACGTTAGGTATTTGAGAAACTGTTCAAGCATGTTCCTGTACTGGGCCTCATGACGGCTTCGAAAGAGTAGGACTGCGGCAGCAGTCCCCCCGCCACCCAATAAGCCTGTACCAAAGAGGGCCGTGCCCCATCCACCTGTCGCCGACCCTGCGTAACCTAGCATTGGACCGATGATACCGAAACCACCACTGCTGATGATGAAAGCCCCGGCCACCACACCGACGAAAACACACACAGTCACAAGGCCAATGCGTTTGTTCGCCTGCTCCTTCGTCACCAGCTGGAGCCCAGATGGAGGAAGCAACCAAGAGTTCAAACTCCGAAAGTACTGCTCTATCTTGCTTCCATCTTCTGCTACTTGTGTCAGTGGATCATCCAACCCTCTTTCCCAATGTGACGTCATGGACTCCCAAGTGTCCTCTGTCTTGGATATCAAGTGTTGCTCCCCCACATGCTGAACCAACTCTCTGAGTTTATCATACACGGCAGAGTCACCCAACTGCGTCTTCGTCAACCATGCCATCTTTGCCATCCTGACAAAAAAATCAGGGTAGTAGCGCCACAGCATCCGCGGCAAGGAGCCATCCTCTTGACTGTAGCCCGCAAGGTCCTCCTTGAAGAGCGGCACTTCGATCGCCTCTTGCGGAGCAAGGTCTGACCAAACACGAATGTCCAGGACGATCTGGCCATTTGTGGCACCTTCTGGATTGGCGTTGGCTGCACTCCCCGTCTGGAGCTGCTTCTTGATCAGCAACTCACCGTGAGACAGGTCGAGCTCCGTGTCTTCGATGTACGTCTGCCTGAACCAAGTCTCAAACTGTGGTTTCGCACAGATATCGACATGATCCACAAAGTCAAGGTTATTGCCAGCGATCCGGATGTGAAGAACCGGCGGCCGACCTTCCAGTTGGCATACAATCCCGATGTCTTCAGAGACCTTGGTCTTGATGTCGCTGAAATCGCTCATGTCCTTGCGTGGGCTCTCAAAGTCGGGGCACGCACACTGATCAAGGAACTTGACGCCAGCTGTGCCATCTGAAGTGGACATGATGTGGTTCAAGTACTGGTTGATGTCATGCTGGCAAATGCTGCTGTGGTCGAAGAGACCATCCAAGGTAAGTCTTTGGCTCACCAGCTGAGCAGGGCCCAACCTCGTCTTCACGGCACCAGCATCATGCGGCATCAGCTCGAAGGCATCATCGATAAAAATGTAGGATCCTGTTGGCACGTAGACATCACAGCGTGAAACAATTTTCTCGAAAATGTGGAGGGCCGTTGGCTGCGTCAACCCTTGCAGTCGCCTCGCTGCTGAGTGCAGGGTGCCGTCGCATCCTAGGGCATGAGCTATCACCTGCAAGCATCTCACCCCATCCTGAAGATTCCCTGTAATGGCAGTGCGGTTGTAGGTGACTGTGTCAAGCAAGTTTAAGAGCCGCGGAACAGGGTCTGAGCTGTTGACAAAGGTTAGGAACTGTGAAGTCCAACCTTTTCGCATGATCTCGTTACCGAAGCGATCATCGCCCACGAAGGGCGCCCCGAAGGCGATGGAGAAAGGCGCAATCTGCCAACTATCACTTGCCCCTGCATTCAAAGCCATTGCGCAAGACAAATGAGCAATAGCTCCTCCGAGCGAGTGCCCACAGAAGATGATCTTGGAACATCCAAAGTCCTCCGCCACACGGAGAAGTGCATCGAGTCTGATATGCTTGGCTCGCTTCTGGAATCCAGCATGCACAACCCCGCCAACTTGCACGTCAGGTGTCAGGCCAATATTCAAGTTGGTGCCCCAATCGCCCTCTAGGTGCGTGCCGGCATTGGCCACAAAAAGCGTTCGTCCATTGGTCTCCAACACTGTGAGAAGATACTTCTGCTCCGTCTGGAGGCACTGCGCATGCTTCAACGGAGTGCGTATTGCATCGCAATACTTCTTCATGAACTGTTGTTCACGGATGTTGTGCTGTGGGTTTGTGCGATAGACGAGCAGGGAGAGATAACAGGCTATCTGAATCTCCTTGCTGGTGGGCTGCAGTGGCTTCCCTGCCAATGCAGAGATGAATTTGCTTTCGAAGCTGGGTGGAATCCCCAGATCCTTCATTGAAAGCTGCCTCTCACAAATCTCTTTCAAAACCGTAGCATCGGGTTTGCACCCAGCACGGGTGTACCACTTCTTGCGGACCTTCTCTGCTTGCTCCCGGGGTAAATTCAGACTCCCAATGAACCTCTCGAAGTCAAAGGGATTCTGCTGCGCCCGGTGCTGCAGATCTTCACGAATTTCTTGTCGGCTCTCTCCGACGCCCATGGGTTCAAGATGAGATATGCGCCGGGTTTGCTGCGCAAGACAAATTCCTCGAGCTGTCGCAGTTGCGGATCCTGGCTTCTCCCTAACAGCTCGCAGCTCGGTGCTCCAACCATTTCGCAGAACATCTCGGGACTCGACTTTTGGTTGTATACATACATACATACATACATACATACATACATACATACATACACGCATTATAAAGAGTATACTTAGTGTATAGAATATATACATATATATATACACACACATAGCATATTATGTATGTAGTATGTATACATATATGGATGACGGAAATCCGAACAACCCGTCCTTCGGAGCTGCTGTAAAGTGGCTGACCTCGGCGTTTGAGGCATCTTCAAGTCTTTGCTCTTTGCCCTTCCCTAGCCAATGTCTTCCGCTCCGGGTCTGCTCTTTCCAAGGCACTGCCGCTCTCATGTTGGAGGGAGCCATCGGCGGCAATAACGACAAACCTGTGGGGAGGGGCGGGCGGCAACGAGCAGAGCAGCACTTCCCTTGGACGTCTGGGAGCAAAGCCTGGCTTCACTTTGGCCAGATTCTATGCCAGATGCGCATCTGGCATTCCATCCTGCCAGTGACCAGAACATTCGCGAAGTGGAATGGCACTGCCAACTTCCAACAAGCGACCGGCCTGTCAGCAAGCATCCCGCAGTCCATGCATGCATGAAGCATACCTTGGAGCAGGAATGCTCTTTCTTGCCTTTTCTCTGCTCAAAAGACTACCCTCCCCATCTGCCCTGAGCTGCCTTCTGGCATTATCATTTGGGCCGCGTGCCTCTCTCCAAGCTGCTTCTGACCAAGGCACGGCAGCTTCCATCGAATGTCTCCAGCAGCTGAAGGCTGGAAGAGCGCTGCTGGAGTCAAGGCCTTGCCAAAAACATCAAGATCCACATTGTAGGTCAGCATCTGCTGACGTGATATGCCAACTAGGAAGACCATTTCACAGGACGCGCCTGCCACAGAAGTGGCAAGATGAACAGTCAGGACTGCCGTGCCGGTGGAAATGGAAATGATAAATTTTGGGAATGAAATAGCTGTCCTCAAACAGTCTTTCTAATTCCAAAACACAGTGGATACAGAGTATCTGAGATCACCTTCTTTAAGAACATCGCCCCCACGCAAACAGCCGCTTTGCTGAGCAGAAACAGCTGCAGGCCACGGTCGACACATGGCACATCATCCATCATAGTTCTGCAATCTTCATGTACGTGGCATGACAGGTGGGTTCATGTTTCAGCAGCTATGGCAGTCACCGCCTTGCAAGCACGCTGACAAGCACGGCAAGTGCTTGCATCATGAACCTATGCCTCTAGTTGTCAACTGTTGAGCTGTCCTTGGGTATTGGTTGATGTCAATTTGCTTGTCTTGTGTCTGGAGTAAGGCCGAGCTTGGGGGAGAAGGCGTGGTGCAGGTTTGCAGCGTCGGATCGTGTGGGCCGTCGGCTTCACGAGACACTAGCATGGAACCATCATGGCCACATGGGCAAAATTCCCAATCAACGAACTAAGTTTTGCTTAGACCCCAAGTACCACCGCTGCCAAATGCAACCGGACGAAGTGGCAGCAAGTACCTGACAGTTTTGCCTGCTGCCCACACAACAGGTCGCCTGGTTCTGAATGGCCCCGCACTTGATGGCAAAGCCGTTGTCTTACGCGAAACCACCTGCCACAGCTGCCACTGCGAAGTATAACAACGCTCCGATGAACAATGCCTTTCCAGAGTCGCATCCGCAGTACTCGTCGAATGCATCCGGCGTAGGCTGGACAGGTTTCGAATGCCAGCAAGGACGCTTCACGGGGCGGAAACCCATCCAATCCTGCTTCTGCCCCTTGCTGCATCAAAGTGGCGCAAGAGCTGGACAGGAGCTGTAGAAAGTGATCTTCTTTCCCAATCATCTTGTACACGAAAGTTTCCTGCACCCTGATCTTTGCCCCAGATCCTGTATTGGTTAGAATGTCGCACGCCATCATTCCAGGGTTTCGACGGTGGCGGTTCCCAGCACATTTTCTCGGTGACCCGTACCTCTCTCATGGCACCTCCGCGTTCAAGCGCCGAGAGGATCTAGCAGCCCCGAGCAGCTCCGCGTAACGGCCATGCCGTTCCTGAGCTTTCGTTCAGATCGCAGAACATAGCTTATCGTAATTTACATACAATGTACTTTGATACAACCGAGGGGAATAAAGTACAGTAGAACAAAGTAGAGAGAACATAGCATTAATATGCACTAATGCATAATGTGACATAATACTTTGTAGTATCATATTCTACCATATAACATAGCAAGGCCCAAAGTACTGCCAATCATCGGAGGCTCACTCACAATCCTCTGCTTTTTCATCAAGTCAATCTGAATGGACTCGTTTGCTGGCGTCCACGACGCAGGAGCCTCACGTGACCAGGATTGATATCTGCTTGTTCGCGAGGCTCTGAACACTTGCTCTGAACCCTCCGTTTTGTTGTTGCTGTCACAGAGGGGAGCCGATATTTCTGAAGCCCATTTTGCTGGGCGCGCTTCTGCAGTCATGACGCCCTCTTAGAAGTGTGGTAAGACCACATCACAATTCTTCAGTGTTGGGAATAAACCTAGAGAAAATCAAAGATCGCAAGGTATATCCTGCAAGCAACAAATATGACAAATCATGGAAAGAGCTCAAAACACACTCGCCGAAGAGACGAACTGTGCCGACGAGGCTCCGCAACCGGCGATCGCCAGGGCCCTGGCCCGGCTCTTCGAACCTGGCTGCGTTTTCAAGCGATGCTTAAAGCAATGATTCGGGATGTTGGCCTGATTTTTGCTTCGTATCCGTGACCCCTTAAAGCAATGATCAGAAGCAGCAATGTGTGGATGTTGCGGTTGCCAACGACACTGGAAAGGAATATTTGCCACCTTGCCTAGTTAAACACGGACGATGGCTCACCTCCTCTCCCACGAAGACTTTCGCGAAGCGCAGCTTCGTCTCTGGAACGTTGATGATCTGGCCGTCTCCCACACCTTAGCAGTATTCCCTGCAGGAGGCTATCTTGCTGGTACAGTGAATTATCGGTACGACTAGTTCTGCCAGACGCAGCAAGTCGCCAACCAGCAACATATGACATGTAAGCCTCTGCGATCAAGGCGCCATACGCCTCGAACACGGTATCCATGAGAGCAGCCCGGGATCGTGCCGACCTGTTCCAGCACAGCACCGTGTCAAACAAGAGACCCGAATATGGGACTGTCACGAACCTTCCACGCACCCGGCGTGCGGCGGCAAGGTCCGCAAAGACACCGACTCCGCGCGAAGGAGCAGCCGGCTCGACCTCAGTTCTCAAAGCTTTACGGAAGTCAAGGCTTCGCTTGGAGTGAACTTTGGACGAAACTGCTCCAGAATGCAGCTCCCCGACGCAGCTGTTGGGCTGCAAAGCCGTCTCTCCATCGAGAAGTGATTTGAACTCGGGCGCCCCCGAAGGACTGCGGCGTGCAGGGAGAAAGAAGCGGGTCCTGCAAAGCCCGGCGAGCAAGGACTGCCAAGTCAAGCCTAGGGAGCAGGGAGCCGGAACTGGAGAAACAATGACATCCCGTGTTGCCCCCTCCCGGCCTCGCAAGCCTCTGCCGTGGCAAGTCGGAAGTCTCCTGAGCCTGGCCCTGCCGGCCGTGTCTCGAACTTCGACGGGACATGGCCTCGGCTCGCTTAGTCTACTTTGATGACTGCATGTTCGACCGTAGCACGGCAGGTACTGTCGGCTTTGCTAGCTGCGGGCCAGACACCAGCTTCATCTTCTCCCCTGCGTCTGAGGGGGGCATCTGGCGTAAGACGTTCTCGACTCTTAAGCTCCTCATCTGCTTGGAAGATCTTTCAGGAATCTGATCGCCGCCCCAGACCCCAAAGTCTGCCAAGGAGCTCTTGAAAGGATCGGTCGAGCTCCGCAGCCGAGGGCATGGCAAGCGCCTTCCAGGAAATTTCGTGGGACACACTGGGGCCTCTCTCGGCTGAAGGCTGAAGGTCCTGGAGAGGAGGAGCCGGGTCCGACATTCCCCAAAGAAACAGATCATCCAGCACACCGGCGCTGGCAATTCGCGATGCCATGTTGGCCATGAAAGTGTCAAATTTGGTGCACTCGTGACAGAGAACCCACAGAGAACCCGGCTTGATCCTGACAATCCGTTTGTCAACTTTGTCAGTCGTGAAAGATGTAACAAGAAGCATGACAAGGAAAGAAGCTGCTCTGCACTACGAGGCTTCTGGGCCAGTGCGCTGTCGCGCTGGAGCGTTCAGCTTCCTCGCTGGAGGACCGGGCTGTGGGCTGAGATGGGGCTTTTGGTCGATTTGGCGGTTGCTTCGGTCTTGTTTTCCCGCTCAGACAGCGCTTGGTGACACATCCCAGAGGCCGCGGAACTCATCTGCGCCCTTAGCAGGCTGCAGCAGGTTTCAGCAGGCTTAGGCTTCGAGGGTTGCTCTCGTCCTTCTCGTCATGAAGCACGCACTAGGAGATAAGACAAGGCAACATGCCTTGTGGGCGTGACAACAGATAGTACAGACCATCTCACGCAAGCCGGATCTGAGGGCCAGGCTGCCCTTCTTGCCCTTGGACTTCTGCTGATGCATCTTCCTATGTGGCAGGTCGCGAAGAATATTTGCAAGGGGCCGAGCTCAGGAACCAGCAATCTCTCTTTGCACGGTCCTCTTCACAGCTCGTTCGGAGGTGCCTTCGTCCTTCCGGCAGCTTTCCCCAACAAAACACGTGCACCTTTGGGTGTAGCATGTGCATGTGTCGCACGGGTTTATTGAAGACTCGAAATGGAGCTGTGCAGCCAACATACTCACCTGACCCACCTGGAGGTGTGTGCAAGAAAGGACTAGGAGAAGCCTTATCTGCCAGCAAAGTCAAGCACAAACCAAGAACCTCACAGAGCCAGCAATGGATGCTCCTGCTCTCTGAGCTCAAGCTCAGTGCTTCGGAGCGCCTTCAGCACCGACATCCCCAAAAGAGAAGCTGCTAGAAACAGATTGAGACTGTCAGCCTCGAGCACGCGCTCGTGGCTGGCTTTCACCTTCGTGTCCACCAGCTCGCTGAATTCCTGTGGCAGGCGATCGGCGAACCATATTCTAAGTCCTACGCGGGTTTGACACAATCTGGTCAATTACACAGTTGCACCCAATCCACGTACACGCTGACGATGTCCTCCAGCTTCTTGCCAAGGAAATGCTCAACTCGCTGGAAGAGCTCCACATCATACTGGGTGACCTGAGCCAGGATTTGCCACTCCAAGCAAAGTTCACCACAACCAATCCTGCGGAACTTCGTCTCACTGTGTTGCGTGCTATCGTGACAGCTCTTCCGCTTCTTCCGGCCCTCGCCGTTCGTCCAACTCTGTGAATGTAGTCCTGAGAGCATCCGCTGAGATCACGCTCGGGCGCCGAGAAGCCCTTGAGGCACACTCCTTGGAGTTTTTGGGAATGTCGTAATTCACCACCTCAGGACAAAACTCTGTGCGGAAACGTGGGCGACACATTGAAACGGAGTAAGTTTGCGGCCAAATCGACTGACGGAACATCTAATCCTCGCGAGGCCACGTCCGTGCACACCAGGATCCGTTGCTCTTTGGCCTGCAGGCCGGGGAATGGCAACCAAATCAATCGGACAGCAGCCTCTGCACGGAGCTCCCAAAACGCACGCTTCTTCGAGCGTGCATGCAGAGAGCACGAGTGGACACCACACCCTGCCTTGAATCCGCTGAGTGCCCCAAGTCTCTGCGCCTGCCACAGGGGTATGCGGTATAGTATATGGCCTCTTCCTCAGAGCTTACCCGACTCTATGCCTGGCTCATTTGTCCATGGAGGCAGATGGACTTCATGCCCATGTGCCTCACGTCGCGGTTCCGAATTTCAGCGTCAGCCTAGCTCCCGGCAAGGGCGCCTCAAGAAAACGGAAAGCCTTTGTGCTCCAAGGCATGTGTCGGTGAAGACCATGACCTGGCACTGCTTGGGATCTCACACCCCTTGCCCCATTTTGCTTTTGGAGTGGGGAAGCTGTATTAAGATCGTAAGCCTTCCTGATCGCCCCGGAGACGTCCAACTCCGCCACGCTGAATATCAGCGATCGAAACAGGCCCGCAAGGCCGCATAGTGGATAAAGTGAGCCACCAAGGCTGCAAAGTAGGTGTGCTTAAACCTTCGTTGCACGGACTTCGGTGCTTTGGAACCTTTTTGGGAGTCTTAGCACTGTCAGCCTGCTTAGCTCGGCACTTAAATGGGATCAGCATGAAGTTCTGAACCAGCCCGGCCTGACATTCCAGTGGCTGTATGAACACGAAACTTGATCATGCAACCTGATGCTGGCTCCCTTCATTCTGTATGTTTGCTACGGGGACAGCTTGTGCCGTTTGCCAGACTCCCGGCACTGCAATGAAGCAAAGGGGTCCGGCCGCTGTATCACACTTGGAGCTCACCTCTACCTGCCAGCTGCAACTGTGCAGGATTCTGCCGTTGCTCCGAGCCAGGAGCGGTCCGGGCTGCCTTCACCGGCTTCTTCAAGCTTGCGCGCTGCAACTTGGAGACCTGCGGAGCAGCCGCTCTCACGTTCCCCGCGCCGTGCCCTGCGGCGCGCATGACCCCGTACCTTTGAGGTCATCGTGGCCGAGAAGAGAAAGGTGTTTCTGTCTCTGGGTACAACCTGCCGGTGCACGAGCACGTGGTCAGCAGATATGACAGCAACAAAGCTTGACTGCGACATCATGCTCACAGGCGCATTTGTTTCCGAGCTGTTCCGCCGACTTGGTCGAGCAGCAGCCTCACCCTCATTCCCGGTGGTTAGCTTCATACAATGTCGGGTAAGACAACCACATGTTCGGGGCAAGAATGCTTGTGGAGGGGCCCACTTTCAACTTTGTTGGATGGGCGAGAATCAATCCATCGGACACAGCAGTGCTGGACGCACGCCTCCTCGAGAAAATTGTGGAAAATCAGGAGTTGAAAATCATGCACATAACTGAAGACGTTCTCCGTGCGGCTCCTGGAGTACAAAGCCTTCGGCACGGCCTTCATTGGGCCTGCGGTGAAGTCTTTCTCCTGTCAGCCGCGCTTCCTGGGCCCCTCTCCGTCACTGGTAGCGCGGGATGAGTGGACTCGCGAGGCTGGCCACAGCATCGAGCCAACTCCCTTCGGCCTCCGCATCCTCCCGCGCCTCCTCGCGAGCAAGAAAGCACAGAAGGCTGAGGAAGGGCTGGAGTTCGGAGATCGGGACCTCGCGTGCTTCGCGGAACTTCATGGTTCGGCTTGGAATCCAACCACCCATGAAGCCATCAAAGTAATGCCATCGACCTGGGGTGCAGAGGGTGTCCGGTGCACGAGATGGCAACAGGTTTGACATCAGAATGCCGTGTACGTCACAAAGAAGGCGAAAAGCTCTCAAGATTGAGAGCCCGACTCGCATCCTCGGCTGCACGATCGTGTATCGTCCAATTGTATTCTTCTCGTGCTTTTCATTCGATCATGTTGCTTTCATGCGCGGTTTGGGGGCAATCATGTGGAGCTCATTCAAGATGCCTAGGCCGGATAGCTACATGTCTACCCATTCAAGCATCCTTCCGTCCAAGTACATACGAATCTATTTGCGTATATCTATCAACAAATCAACAAAGTTCGTCATGACGACATGAACTGCCAATCATGGCATGCTGTCCAAAATCTGCAGACTACGAGCATAATCTCTATTTGACCTGAAAGTTACGAAACATTGGATGAACACGAGAGTCTAGAAGCGAAAAAGCGCAGAAAGGTATACCATCATGCAAGTTTAGCATACTTGTTCGTAGCTTGGTTCGTCATAGGGTTTTTTTAGAAGTAAGGGCTTCAGCAATCCTTGACCAACCCTGCTGCTTCGTGACTCTATAGCTGTGTGCTACCTCGGTTGGCTTAACTGTTCAGCTTTGCAAATGACTGTGTTTATTGATCTTTTCCTGCTGTAGATGGCAGTACGCCGCTATGGATGACAATCATCGGATGCCCGGGCAACTAAGGAACGGAAAACACATGTTCGCATATTCGTGCATGCACGTACATATGTACGAACGCATGGGTGCATGGTGCATGGGTACACGCGTGCGGCATGGGGCTGCTGCTCTATGATTTCTATGTATATGATGTAGCTCATCCATATTAATAAGTGCTCAGAATCTGGATCTTGTGGGTAACGACCTGATGTCTCCCCAGCAGCTTCAAGCAATTCGTGCAGCTAAACAACTAGCTCCCTGGCAAGTTAACTCTGCTTGCAGAGAAGTTAGCCAGCTCAACTGGGCATCACAAAGTGTGGAGGGGTGTAGACAGACTAAGTTGGACCGAGATGGGCCTAACGTGGACGTTTCCCTACCTTCGTCGACCCACTAAATTAGTCAAGCTTGGCGAGTTGTCCAGAAATCCGTGCGACCTGGCAGCGACAGGGGTGTCGACACCAGCCTCGCTGAAGATTAGAGGAACTGCTTCCTGGCCCAAGCCATGCGCGACACCACCAGAGTTCACGATCCACCTGCACTCTCCCATGCAATAGTCCCAGCTTCAGGATGAGAGTTCTCCGAACTATCACAGCTGTGCACAAGCCAAGCGGCGTCTGGTTCGTGCTGGAGTACCACAGCACAAACCTGGCGGCAGCTCATGCTAGGTCTTCCTCATCAACCCGCAGAATGTGCGCCTGTGCATCTCGTCGCCCTGCACGTGTGCTACGTAGGACGGAGCGCCGTTTACAGCAGCATCCGCTACGAAGGGAACGCCTCGCCGCAAGGGTTGCACAGATTGGGAGCATGCTTCGGAGTTATTGTCCGACCCTTCTCTGAGCCGGCAGAATACCTTTACTTTCGTCGCTGAACTCGCTCAGACGCTTGGGCCGAGCAGCCTGAAAGGAAACTCAGCTCTTCCACCGCCCCCGACAGCTCGATGGCCTCCCGTGCCCTGAGCAGATCACACTCGATCCGAGACGAGCCGAGCAAGCAAGGATCTCCCACAAAAACACCCAGCACTTCTTGACCGAACGTACACGGAGTCTTCCGCTCCGCCGAAGTCTCTGCACTCTCTGCCAGGCTGCTGGATGGCAGGCTCCAAGAAGTGGTCCTCAGACCTCGAGCAAGGGAAGAATTCACCCACCCACACACACACACACACACGCACACATCAGTTGCGGCATGGCTGAGTCGGGGAGGTTCATGGGTCACAAAGCGCATCACAGCAGCAGGGCATCGCCGCCCCCTCGTAGCGCTGTCGCCTACACAAAGGGTGAGGCCGGTTACATGCTGCCCACGGATTGTGCACCACGAGGCTCTCTGCATGTGCACAGTGAACAGCCTGCAGGCTCTTGCCCTTGAAGTGGACACCGGACTCAGCCTGCAGACACGTCGGACACCAAGGGGGGGCGGGGGTGGGGGGGGGGGGTTACCGGCGGGACTCAGGCCCACCTCGTAGGCTTCCAGAGGTCGGTGACTTCCGAGGCCAAAGGCATCACCGCTGGATCTCAGGCCGCCTGGCACCGGGCACACCGGGCGTTGCCCGCACGCAAAAATCTCGAGGGCACAAGCGGCCTGCACGTGCAGAAACACTTGAGATCAGAAAGCCTGAAAAGCCAAAGTAACACAACCCCCTCCCGGCAACAAGCGGCAAGTTAGTTCAACTTAGGTCCAAATGCCCAACCTGGCAACGGCCATGCTCTGCCGTCGCCGGGGGCGCTGCCGTCCAGCAGGCCGTGAAGGCGGCACTGCGACGCCTTCCAATGGGACTTGGGAATGCAGAGGCGGCAAAAGAACACCAATTGGAGGGTTCCGAGCTCTTGCAGGCTGCCTTGAGCAGAGAGGCGAAGAGTGCCCTGACGGAGCCGCATGCGACAGTATAGACCGGACCATGATAGACCGACTACACCGCCTAAGAAATCAAGCTTGCCAGGCCTGTTGTCCTTCCAGTACACTCGGCGGTAATCCCTTTCCCAAAGATGGAAGAACAGGTTCTCTTTGGGAGCATAGACATCCTTTGCAAGAAAGCGGAAGAGGCCAGCGACGCTCTGCAGTTGCAACCAGAAACTCGTGGCCCACTTTCGCACTTCGACCTGCTCTGTCGCGCCGAAGAGCCCAGCCATGTGTGTACAGACGCACGGCCATTGATATCTCTTCGCCAAAGAACAGCCTCGGGCAGAGCACTCATGGCAATGCTCCACGGTCTCCAGTCACGGCGACGAACTCAAACTTCAAAAACCAGGCATGATACATCTGGAGCTGCGGATCGTATGGCACCTCGCACAGGACCTCTGCCGAGGAGAACGAGAACTGGGCGCCCCAGAAGTAATGCTTCCTTGGAATCTCAAGCTCAAAGAGATGTCAAGTGAGCGCTGTACACTAGTACACTCGGTACATGATGGTACATGGAGCTTGGCACTTCAAAGCTGCAGAGATGCGTGGGCTCAGGCAGCGGTGCCTTGAGCTCCCTCGCCTTGATCAACAGAATTCCATCCGAGTCGAAGGTATTCGCACAGTTCCTGAGATCCCGCTGCTGGGGGCGACGGCTAGAGAATGTTGAAACTAACGACCCGGCAGTCAAAGTTCTAAACTACTGCACTAACCGAACCAACCACGACTGAAGACAGTTGAGCTTCATGCTCACCGGGACGTTGCCTTTGGGAATCTCGGAATACGGTGTGCCTGCGCGTCACCGCTGCTTCCCCAGATGCACTGGACCGGAAGTCTGAAACAATCCGGCACACAAAGAAAAAGCTGTAAATCGACCGAAGCTGAGTTTGGCGAGCTGCCCAAGGAGTAGCCAGGCCCGTAAGTGCAAAGTACTGGTTTCTCCTCAGTTGTATCATGGCAAGCTGGTTACAGTAGCCAAAAACCCTTTTGTCTCGAATTTGACCTGCCTGACCTGTCTGAACCATGCCAGCATCTCGAAGCTGGATCAGTCTTGAAACCCTGCCCCGCTTTGTGCAACAGAACCTTGTGAAAGGGAAGCTCCCCCGATCTCTCGTCAAGAATTCATAGGAACATGATTGCATTGCCATCGGGTTGCTCAGACTCCAGACCACGCTTTGACTAAGCGACTAATCTGCAAGCGAGCGGCTGAGTGCATGCCACACCAGGCGAGCTCTTCGCGTGCTTTATCATCCCAACCTGGTCCACACTTCCACTCGCCGTATTGGCCCTAGCGAGCTCCTATTGTCCTCGAACGCGACTCACAGCACCACAAATTCCAGCAAGAGTAACGACAGTCCAAGCTCGTCTTGCCGAGAGACCCGGCACAAAGCGCATGTGGCTGTCCAGTTGCAGGTACAGCTCCTCCCCGCTCCAAAGCAGCCTTGCGAGCTCCGCCCGTGAACTGAGTCAAGCGCTTACATCAAGACATATGCACATCGCATGGACCTACCGTTTTACATAAGCCTCATGCACAGATACAGCCGCGTATACCAAACCTCTGCATGTTCTACACACGTGGGTCATCAAACATTCCGAAGTTTCGGCTCGATTCTGTCCGACAACAGATCGCCTGAATCACATGTGGAACTGAGGTGACTAGGTGTAACGTGCGGCTTGTAATACTGTAGTCATAGCAATGGGCGCAGCTGCCAAAATGATAAAACGATCTATGCCTATATCAGCACAACCAGAAGAAAACAGTAATTCAGAAACTGCTCCGCCTCTTGGCTTCCGTGATGCCAACGATTTACTGTAAGTCCACAGTTCTGATCTCACTGAAAGCATATGTCCAGATCAATCCGGTCCCCCAATACCGTGAAACACAATAGTATCAATCCCTCAGTTTGGTCGTCTTGCATGCTTGTCAAGCTTGGCCGCTGCGCCAGGTACCGTGCCCAGCAGGGTCCACGGGCGGCCTTGAAGCTTTCAGCCCATGATGGATTTGGCAAATCTGGGGCATTCCCAGCATCTCGCTGTCTGTTCCAGGTAACAGGACGAGACTAGACGAGGTTCTGCGAATAGTCCGCCGGCTAGACTAAGTGCAACCAAACATTCTTCTCGACCTGCTGCTGGATCTGTGTATTGGGATTTGTCTGTGCAGAGGCTAGCTTAGCCAGGTTTGAATGAATCCGCTGCGCAAAGAGCCCTTGAAGTTGCCATGCCTCTGGGGTCATGCGTAACGACCGAATGCGACCACCCATCATCTCCTTGGCAAGCAGATGAATCATGGATCTACGGGCATGGATCTGATGCAATTCACGTCCCAGTTCTTAACCAAGGAAGTATGCTAGCATGGCAGCTGCACCGAACCGATGCCAGCCCTCAAGGATACAGTTCTGTTTAAGCATGTTTAAGCACACCTCGACCGGCTGGCAGCTGCAGTGCTACAAGTCATCACAAGCAACCTGGTTCGCGCTCTCATTGCTCGTCGAAAATTGAAGGATGCCATTTCAAACACTCCAATCGCGAGCATCCTGCTTGCAGACCTGACCACGTAATACCACGTCTAACCTGTTTACAACTGCGAGAGCTGCGAGACGGCTTCGCCCACAGACTTCTCCACATCTGGGGTCACACTGAGAAGTTCGAAAATTTGGGCCCCGTAGGGGAGTTTGGCTTTAATTAGTCTCTGCCTTCAGCTCGTAGTCGGAACCATCTTTGAAGCTCTCCACATAGAGCAGTGCAGCTCGAAAGCCTTGAAGAAGTCCCGTTCTGTCCGCCTGGCGGCAGCGTGGATCCAGATTGCAAGGACCCATAGCTTGCCAAACCACCCTGTCTCGCATCAGCAGCTTCGAGTCCTTGAAAGCCTTGTGCAAGTTGTCGCTTGAACGTCGGTGGCAGCTCCCAGCGGCGAAAGGGCCAACACCAGCCGCTTTTGGAGCACGCAGCCATGTTCCTGGCCACGTTCGAGCTTTCGACCAGCCTGCCGATAGACATACCAGCCTGCCAATAGACATCATGTCCGCACCCAAACGCTCAAGCTGCATCCGTGCTCGATACGATCACGTGATGACTCTGCGGCCCCGTTGCCAACAGACGAGGTGGTTCATCCCCACATGCCGACCAATAACATCCGGGTCGCTATCGCCTTCGCGACTGCGAAAGGGACTGTCCCGTCAGACCACAGACTTTTGGGACCGATCGCATGTGACTGCGGTCTGTCCCGCCAATTCGTCGCGGACCACCATGAGCAAGTGGTCACTCTTGTTACAAGCCGTTATGCGCTGGAGCGCGATGCTGAGCTCGGGCGACAGGAAATGCGCTCGGATCGTGCAAAACCGTCGCCAGACACATGCACGGCGAAGCACGACTTCTGGCGTCCTGCACACTTGCTGGATGTAGATTGCTGTCTGGCCAGGCAGCCTATACTGATCTAGCCTTTGACCACGACGCGGCAAAGCTGTCACTCATCGTAGCGAATGACAATGTCAGCCAAGCTTTGGCCGCGGAATTGGGATACAACCTCCTCGTCTCGTGCCCTGGCCGTAACAATCAGCTGCTGAAGAGGAAGCAAATGGGGTAGCTGGCGCTTCGCCAGTGCTTCTACGCGGCTGGGTATCCCGAGTCCAAAGTCGAGGTGTCCGCAACCACACACCACCATAGTGTGATGGCTTCCCAAAAGGCCAACGATGACCTTCGCGCAAACAAAATCCTTCCAGCACTGGGCAGGGAAGATCTGCCGCCCTCGCGTGGGGACTTCCCCAGTCTCATGCTCGGAAACTGGCGCCCCAGCGATCATAGCAGCAAAGAGCCGAAAATGATCTTCAAGAGTCTCTGGGCCCATCAGCTTGTGTAGTTCTTCCATTTCCCTCACCTCAGGCACTGCAGTGACTGCAGCGTTCGAGGCTGGTATCCGACAACAACTTGCTTTCGCCGAGATGCATCCATGGATCCCCGGACTGCCTCTCTGGCTTCAGCTCGACTTGGAAAGCCCGCAACAAGCTGCACCTTTGCTTCTGCAGCAGCTGTAAGTAGAGGCTCGTAGAGCCCGATGTCCTCAGCCGGGGCTAAGCAAGGAAGGATCGGATGCTGCCCTCACTAAGCCACCCAGATGTGAATTGGAGCAACCGGCATTGAGGCCTGCGCAAATTCCCCATTCTGGGCTTCATACTCATCCACAAGCTCACGCGGATCGTCCTGCCCCCATCCTCGAAGCAGGCTGAAGTCTCCAGATCATGCGCTGCAAACAGGCAAGGCGACAGCAGGCTGCCCAGACTCGATCCAGAATGTGCTGCTGTTGGGCAGTGAAGTGCTCCAGCACCAAAGCAGTCGGAGTTGCTGGGTTCGCCTCGTGTCACTGTTGGAGACGGGTGAAGATGGAGATGAAAGGGATGCTACCTGGCCTCCAGCCACTCTTGCAAGGCTGCAAGCTGTGCGGCGCATACTGCAGGCTCTTCGTGACCTGAGACAGCAGTGAGGTCGGGCAATCAGACTGTCGAAACATAAATTCGCTTGGTCAGAGAGGAAAGGCTTGTATCATCTGCAAGGTCGTTTCACGTGGCAGCTGCAGCGTCACACCTACCAGGACTTGCCACATGCTAGGCAAGCACCCTTTAATGCCCCAGACCAAGCAGGGGACGCTCTCCGAAGTACACCACCCGGCGACCCAAAAGCCGGCCCCGGTCCCAGCCGTGGCCCTCGGAGTGCCAGCCCGCACCTGCAGAGGTGAAAAGACGCTCAACCGGTGGCAGAAGCACAGTTCTCGAGGCCGAATGCTGCTGCCCCCGCAGTCAATACTCCTACTGTTTTGTGCTGTAGCTGCTGAATTTCATCACCATCGAGATGATCGAGGCATTGATCGTCGTCATCGCCAGCATCGTCGTCGGCGACAAACGTCTTTGTGAAAACCGCAGAAAACAGTTGTCATTGTGCTTATCTCTGCTATCTCTGCTATCTTCGTCAGCAGTATTGTCATCACCCCCAGTAGCAGAAGCAGCAGCCATAGTAGTACGTGTACTAATTATCTAATACAGTCGTAGTCGTCGTAGTCCTGATAGTGAGGCCTTCGGATGCCAAACCGCGGCCCCAGCCACGGCCGCCAATCCGCAGAGACAAGGGCACCCGTCTGCAAGTCGTCGCAACCAAAGAAGCTCCGATCGCAGGCATCTACGATGGACCCAGGCAGATTCTTGAGCCGCATCCTCCGTGCTATGTCCCCCTTTTGGGCCCTATCCTTCCGTCTCCTGAATCCGAAGCCTCGAAGGCATAGTTGTTGTCCCCTCTTCCCCCTCTTCCCTGACACGGCTGGTCTTATGGCAAGGCTCCCAGATGGGCAAGCTGGCATCATCGGGCAGCTCCAGATGTTCGACGACTCGATCCTAAGCTCGTCGACTGGTTGTTGCGTCAAGTAGGCCCACAAACAGACCACACGTCATCGTTTGAACTGTGGAACCTGTGTGCCGTGAGCGCAATGAGCGCAAGCACTGCCTGGGCGAGGCACCTCCGCGTAGCTGCTGAGGTTCCAGAGCTTCGCCAATCTCAGCAACCAGGTGGCTGCACACACAAAAGCCAAAGCCCCCACTCTTCAAGACGTCAGGCGGCTCGTCCATGTCCAGAGGCTCCAGGCCGCTCCCGGGCCCCTGCCAAACCTGCAGCCGAATTTTACTCTGATTCCTCCAGAGTCCTGCTCTGTGTCTTCCTTCAGTTTTTGCAATTGGCCACAGAGGTGCTACCGCGCAGCTATCCCAAATCGAATCAGCTCCGGCCGCGAAGCCGCGGCAACTAACGACCTGTGCATCATGCATTTTCGCACATCACGGACCCTTTGAAACGGAAAAGCGAGAATCCTATACAGAGACTCCTACTATAAAGCACTGAAGCCAGGGGACTGCATCGTGGCAGGCAGCTCTGGGTCCGCGTAGGCGGCTATAGAGACAAAGATCTGCCCATCCTCGGCAGAGTCGGAGCCGGAGACCGCTGTGTTTCGAGATCTTTTGTGGGTCGGCTAGGTCTGCAACAGCACAGGACAGACCCCGGCTCTGCTCAACTCTGCAACGAGCTACTTTGGCCACTTCCGCAGCGCCGGCCGCACGTGCAGGATGGCCTCCTAAACATCGATGCCACTCTCCCTGATCAAAGCCCCATATGCCGCAGGTCTCGTCCTTGCCTCGTGCCGGGAAGCTGCCAGGCCTCGCCTGGCCGAAAGCTTGGCAGCTGTTGAGGTTTTATGCCCTTGCAGCGTTCCTCCCGGAACCTAAACGGCGCCGGGCACGCCGTCCAGGCATTAACGAAGGAGCATCTCCAGTGCCTGAGCTTCTTCATGCCAGAACGGAACAGGTCTAGAGGAGGAGCCCTTGCTGAGACATCACAAGTTGTGCTGCCAAGATTCGCGAAAATCCCGCAGGCCGCAAGACAGGCGGCGAAAATTGTTCGAGACCTGATGCTGGTGGCGATCAGCAACGACTACTGACCAGTGTGATTCTGCAAATGCAAACACACAAAGCCTGGCGCTACTTTGCCCAACCGCACAACACACAAGGCCTCCCGGTTGTCCGCATCGATCCCCGGGGACCCCAGGCCATGGCAGCAAGCGAAAGCGGAAACAAAGCAACTGCCTGGATCGCTATGTGCAGTGTAGGAGAACTGCTGACTCTCTGGCGTGGCACAGCTCACGTGAACGAACAAATAAAGCCACTCTCCCATCCTGTAACAGGCCTAGCAGGCAAAAAAATCAGCAAGCTTCGTTACCAGCAAGCAGACGGTATGGAGCTCAGGCAGTCGTGCTGTCGGCGCAGTCGAGTCTCTTTTCACTCGGGTGCAGTAAACCACATTGTTAGGGCATAGCGGTCATGTTGGGAAGCCAGAACCTGGTGTGCCAGGTCCCGACAACGGAAAAGTACTAAGGAACCGCCTCGCGGCCAAACCTTGGATAGGCATCACGGCACCAGCGAACATCTTGACGAAAGCCCAAAACCAGCTGAGAACGAGGCATCTACGAATCCAGAGTCACCACCGCTCATGTCTTTGGAGCGGAAGGCTCGAAATGCCCCGGCGTAGGATTCCTGTTTCGCAGATGAACACCACGCACAGATTAATACCGGCGGCAGTGCCCCACAGCTTTCAACACTGAATGCAAAGGGGCTCTCCTCCCATTCTCGCTCATTCAGATAGAGAATGGCAGTGAATCGCCTGCCCATCTTCATTCTGCGCACAGATGGCTGCGCACGTGTCGCACATGGCTTTCGTGCTCATGCAAGCACCCCATCCTTGAGGAGATCATCTGCTTCTGGTCCAACGGCATGTCCACGTCAAGGTCTGCCATTGAGGACCCGTCGGTGTGCGCAGCATAGCCTGCTGAGCCTTCGGCAAAGCACGCGAGCTGCGCATGTGGAGTGGGGCCGACCCTCTTGCCGTCGACCGGGCAAATCTCCGCGAGGCGAGAGCAAACAGCGAGCAGGAGATCGATGCCAGTGGCCATTCCACGAAACCCATGCAGTTCGCAGGAACTTCTGTCGATCAAGCGATAGGAATCCTCACGACCTTCTTGCCATCTGTTCCTGACCAAGACTGTGGATGCTGCTTTGCCGGCATCATGCACGACGAGTTGGACCATAGTTCATTCTTTGGCATCTGGGCCTACATTTCTCTTGTAAATTCCAAGCAAGACTCCAGTAAGTGGAAGGCTGCAGAATCTTTCGCAGCACTTTCGCCTTCCAGCCGATGAGACGAATTGTCGGGCTTTGGGCGAAAAAGACTTGATACAGATGCTCTCGTTCCTGTTCCTGAGATGCCAGACTAGCCCTTGCTATCAGAAACTCTGAAGGTATTGGAGGGCCTCCTGGTGCAGCTGGTCGCTGAGCCTGGGCCCCAAGATGTTGTCGAGGCAGACCAGGCCACCAAAGTCACCTCGGTCTCATCGCTCTCATCGCTCTCGCTGTGTCTCAGCCTTCCGACATCCACTGCAACCCAAGGGCCTGTGGAGAGCTGCTGGACTACCTCGGCATCGAGGGCAAGGGCCGCTCTTTGCGCCAACTCCTTTCAGCGCTTAGCTTCGCTTCTTGCAGGGCCTTGGTCGCGACTTTTACGGCTTATCGGGCATCGGGTATCCTCTGCAACACTGCCAGTGTCGAAGGTTACGAACTCATCGAAGCCGTCCGGCACGCGCCTCGCCGATGCATTCCCGATCTTTTGTGTATCAAGGTCCATGTCCACATGCTTTGCCAGAACAAACCCCAGCTTGCCTTTCCAATCGCATGAACAACTTCATCTGCAATTCTGTGGGAGCAAACGCAACAGTAGTTCCTGCCCTCTTTTCAAAAGGCGCACCCCGCCTCAGAAACAGGCGCTTGCCCTGGACATCCTCTGCCACAGCTGCGAAACTGCACGACTCTCTGGCACCTCGAATTCGCAACATCCGATTGCTGGCCAGGGTCAGCCAGGCAGCCCACTGTTTGACACCCGCAAAACAAAACAGCAATGGCACGGGGGATCAGGAAGTACAGAAGCGCCGCAAGACCTGAGTCACATGATTAGGGTGCCCGGGCTTGCTGGCTCCAGTCACACAATGTCTCCACCAGCACGAACCAGGTATGCGCTGAGATTTGATTTGTCATACCATGGGCTAAGAGGACTATGATATCAGCAATCTGCCCTTGCGGGAATCGGGCACAAGGCCGCAAAGCCAGGGCGCCGGCTTGCTAAACTTGCCAGCCGCTGCTTGTGTCGCAAGCATCGTGGCATCGCGAGGACGGTGCCCCATTGCTACATGGGGAGCTCAGGTCAGGGCTAAGCAACCTATACTGGGCTCTCAGATGAGAAACTGGGCGTCCTCATGCCGAAGATCATGTTTGCATCCTCATTCTCACGCTTTCAAGCCATGGCTGCTTGCACAGAGAAACAGAGAGACAGAGAGCGAGAAAGATAGAGACAGAGAGAGTGAGAGTGAGTAAGAGTGAGTGTGCGATAGAGCTATGTAAAATTGTGTTGAACATGCACGACCTCGTGGCCAACAATCACGAAGTTGTCGATCTTCAGCAGCTCGTGGCGGACGAGTGGCAACAAAGAGTCTGCTTAAAACATCCAGCATAAGGCCAACAAGTGGCTCGTTCCTTCACGGAGAGTCTGCTTGCAAAAATACTGCAGGGTCGCGATCTGTAAGATCCGAAACATGGAACCTTGCCATGTGCCTGTACGGCACACTGCCTGTCGAGCTGCTGGCAATGCAAAGCTGTTCGCAGGGGCATCCTCATGACAGACAGCTCGTGGCAAACAGGTTCCACTGTGCCGTGAAATTGCTGCGATCTTACACATCAGACGAGGATGGCTGCCGAGCGCAGCTTCGCTGCCAGAAACAGTGGTGGCAGAGGCAGTGCATACGCTAGCACCGACACAAGTGCCAGGCTAGACGTTATTATTTGACATTATAAAAGTGATCTTGAGAAAGTGTGCTTAATTTTCGACAGTCGTTCCGTCGACTTGCACGCGCCGAAATCTAGCAAGCTTCTGCCAGTTCGGCTTCGATTCTTCCTTGGATGGCAGGAAGCAAGGAATGGTAGACACCGAAACATCTAGCCTTGGGAACTGTTACCTCTTTCGCCCAGTACATCCGGGGTTGGCTCAAGAGCAAGTGGCGGAGCTCTGCCAGCCCTGGCAGCCGCAGAGGCTGGGCCGCAATGCCCTTCGCCAGAGAACCAAGACCCTGGCACAAGGCCGTCCAGTGCTTCACAGAAGGACACAGCAGGCGCTCCAAGGTGGCTGGACATGCTTGGACTCGACAACGGCTGCTGCTCCAGCCACATAACGCCATAGGTGCACACCAGAACAAACGAATATAATTGCGAAGCAATGAAGGATCCAAGTGCAGGGGTACAAACTTTCAGAGCACTTCCTCAACCGGCCTGATGGACGTCTGGGTCCCGCATCTCAGCCTCGTGACGATCGGCGACCACACGCATGCACGTAGGTGGGAGAAGCTTCCGAAGCGCTGACAACATTCGGGGGAGCACCTGTCCAAAAAGCCCTTCAGCTATACTAAAAATTCATCCTACAGTTCCGTGCCACCCCAAAGGCGCTTACAGCACCGGCCTCGTTGATGAGCAGCCGCAGTTGCAAGGCAACGGTGCGGGTCTCCTTCCAGTTTCGTGGCTCTGAGCATTCGAGCAGAAGGTGCCATGACGCGCACAGGACTCAACCCGCTGCAAATTTCACAGAGGAATCCCCAAGGCGGCTCCCAGGTGGCTGCAGGGTACTCCAGGCCGTGCTCAAAGGCTGCCGGGTTCCCCACCTCAGACTCGCGTCCTAAAGTGGCCGTAGTCACAAGGATGACCTGGGCCTTGGATCGCCTTTCGCTGTCCGAGTCACGTAGACATCCCCCGGCACCTGCAACTCCTCGTGGATCGCAGGTTCCAGCTCGAAGGGCTGTCTGAGCTTCATCTTCAAAGACCGATGCCCGTGAACCGAGACCGCCATGTGGAGCGCCGAGTTGGGCGCATCCACGTGCCAGGCAACGTCATCTTTGCCCACTGGCTCACCCCAGTGGATCTGCACCGCAAGGTCAGCGAAAGCACGGCCTTGCTCCAGCAGCCGCCGCAGCACGGAGTCTTCCGGGCAGTCGGCTGCCATGCGCGCCAAGAACTCGGAGTTGGCCCGTCGCACGCCTTCAGCGAAGGCTCGCAGGCGCAGCGAGGCTGCGGGCTTGAGCATGTCTCTGCCGCACCGCGGGTTCACTGAGGGGAAGGGCTCGGCACCAGGAAGGGTGTGGAAGTAGCCCTCCAAGTAATGATGACCAGGCAAATTGGGGTGGTCTACACATGGCACGAAGCCAAGGTCGTGCATGCGCTGCACATCTCCTGAAACATCGCCACATAGAGCGTCCTCAAACAAGTGCTGGAGCACCTCAGGTACCCGCCGGCAACTTTCTTTCAACAAAGGAAACTGCTGCACCTCCCGCTGAGCCGAAACAAACATCACTACCCGTGCCTTCCCTGCAGTGATGGGCCCTGCCTCCTGCGAGAGCTGTAAGCTCTGAAGTCCGACGGGCCCGAGTGCTTGGAAGTGTCGGCCAGGGATCTTGCGTTCTTCTGGGAAGGAGAAGCCGAAGAAAGACGGAACCTCCGAAAAGACGCTCGTCAGGGCCCTGCATGATGCCTTCGACGCCTGCGCGCAAACGGTCAAGACCGATGCGATTATGCCGTAGGCGCAAAGAGTAAAACGGAGCAGGAACGTGGAAAGAAGGCCAACCGCCGTGCATCACTAACAAAATCCCTCTGCACTGAAGGTAGGATCCCCACGCGCCGCATAGTCCTAACAAACTGTTTGGGGAAAAAAGCTCGATGCAGGTCTGCGAGCCTTGAAGCTAGGGCTTCGGAAGTCGCAACCTGTCGCAGCACCTTCCCAGGCAAGCAGCAGTAACAGAACAGATGTGCAAAGTAGCACTAGGCATTTATCCTGGACCATGTCCCATGTGGGGGTTTCCGAAAATAGGGGACCCCAATAGAGTACCCTAAATGTATTATAAGGACCCCAAAATAGGGTACCGCTAATTTTCGGAAAGTCCCATGTGGAAGCCGAAGGCACGAAGTTTCGGCCGCTGGGAGGCGAGCAAGCAGCCAACTCCGAAAGCGCACAAGCAAACTTCTCCGACCTCGCTCGAAGGGATGGGCCAAGTCAAGCCAAACCAAAGGGTGTTTGACATCTTTCCTAGTCAAAAGGCATCTCCTGCCATGCCCAAGGACTCAAACCAACCGACAGGGAAATCTCAGTTCAACTGAAGCATACATGCCAGGCACAGAAGAGGGCAGAAGCAGCCGAGTGAGCGCCACTGGCTGCGGAGACAAGCCGGCCCGTCCGCAAGGAGGCAACAACGCGAAAGCGGCTCCTCTGGGTTTTACAGAGGAGTTCGCGAGTTCGCGAAGACGTGTGTGTATATATATATATGTATGTCTATACATATATATATTATATATATAT